TGGGGGGAGGTTGATGGGAGAGCAGTTGGCTAGCATTTTTATTGGTGTTAATCTTGGGATGTATTGAAATATTAAAACCTAAGACCTAATATAATTTCAAAGGCCAAATATTATTTGAGAAAGTCCCAGTGGCAAACTCTGGTATTTAAGAAAGTTGAGATAATTTTTCTTTTACTTCCCACTAATTTGATTAAATTTCTTAAAACCTCGTTGTGCCCATTTGTGAAGATGTTTGAGCATCTCTCAAAGATATTTTACTTTCTGAGGATGGCAGAATCATTCACTGAATAATCCACACATTCCTGCATGAAAGAGATGGGCGTTAAAAGTTTTCAACTATTTGTTTATGTTTAATTTAGTGGTGGATCAGAGAGGGCAAGTGGACTGAAAAGAGTCACAAAGCAAGCCTGCGACTGGGCTGGGGCTAGGGTCTCAGTCTTCGGTCCCTGCTGCCACATGCCTTCTCTCTTTTCCTTACACTATCCTCACTTTCAAAAGATGTTCGTGAAATCTCACAGCTTCATGGATTTAAACCTAGAAGGGACTCTAGAGGTAACTTAACACTTTCATTTTAATAGAAGGGAGGCAAAGCCCAGAGGGGTTAAAGAGATTTGACTAAATTTGTGCAGCTAGATAGCAATGGGGTAGACGCCAGAGCCTTGATTCCCAGTTCAGCAATCTTTCTATGGAACCCCATCAATCTGAAGCTACAGAGAAACTATCATAGGAACAGCAGTGCTCATGTATAGTTTGGTTATTGTTAACATTTATTAGACATATTTTCCAACCAGTATGGGGGATAATGATTTTCTTATAAGCCAAGTCAAGGCTGCATCCTTAATCAACCCCAGTTGATAGTGGATCATATGCTTGAAATGAGCTGAAGGTATTCAGAGGTCTGTGGCCCTGACACATGGCAGAGGGGGCGACAGTGGGGTTGGGGACAGGGTGGGGCAGTGATTTCCCAGTGCTTCCCTGCCACCAAGCTTCCAGTGCTCTTGTGCCATTTGTCTTGAGCACATACCATTGGATTGGAGTGTTTTGGTCTCTGCTCAGGTCCTTCTGAGTACTTCCGTTTTTTTGGTAATTGCTCCAGTAATTGCTCTTTATCCCTTCCTCTCAGTTAATCCCCCTAGCACTGATCTAGGAACCCAGCACTGGGTGAGGGGAAGCCTTGGGAAGTAGAGTTTTCAGTACTCAGACCTACACATGATCAAGTCCCATTTCTATTCTGGATTTGGTGAAAATTATTGGAGATATTACCCTATAGCTAGCTCCCTGCCTCATTTACATCTTATTTTAAAATGTACACCATATTTCTGGTCTTCCTTCTTCATCTTGGGAAAACGATAGAAATGAGTGAATGAATACATGTTTATACAGTACACTGAGTCCTCTGGAGAAAGATGTTATGTAAATAAGGTTTATAATAATCAAGACAGCTACTTGTGGTCTATTTTACACATTTCCTTCCCCCTCTTTCTTCAAATATTTGTTGAGACACAAAGACCTAAAACATGCAATCATAAAGCCATTGAACAGCAGGCTGGAAGTGACCTTCTAGGTCTCAAAATCCAACCATCCATGGTTCAGATGACAAATATCATTCTTGGGAAAGTTGTGATTTGCTGAGAATCAGGCAGCTTGTAAGTCACAGAGTGAGAATTTGAATGAGTGTATTTTGGTTTCAGGTTCTTTGTTTTATTTGTTTGCTCTTTAATAAAACATGGTCACAAGTTCTGCCCTCAAGCAGCTTGTAGGTGGAGGCCACCTTGTACATGTTCATTTTTGTGAACATTCTTATGTGGTGTGCTCTTTATATTTTCTTGATCTAACAAATCTTTTATTCTTTTGGTTCCTTCCTGATCTGCAGTCGGTGTTGTGAAAAGAAAAGCTGTGGAAACAGAAATGAAACTCCTTCAGACCCTGTCATCATCGACAGGTAGGGGGAAAAAGTGATTTTTAGATCATTTTTGGTTTCTGTCCATCATGAATTTCAGCTCTGAGTAGTGATCACTTGGGGCTTTGCTGTAAGGTTGGTTTTATGTTATCTTAAAGGCATTAATCTAGTCCAACGAGGGTTTTCTTGTGCCTGGATGGCCTTTCTTGGAAGAAATCAGAACCTTTTGGAACATGTGTCTCTAAATTTGTGGTGAGTTCTTTTCCAAGTGCACTAACTTTAGCCTAATAAGGAATGTGAATGCTGAAGGATGCCACCTCTCCTAGCTGACAGGGTATGGTCTCAATCAGTTTTCTAGAAGAGGCAGTGCACCCCACGTTAAGTAGCAGCCTCTGCATTCTTGGCAATTTCTACTGGGATTGAAGAATATCAATTTAGATTATGGTTTAGGGGATTATGACAAGCTCTCTATTGCATTGAGGGAGATTCCTTTCTCCCACAGAATATTGCATTCTGGGTTCTGTGTTATATTCAGAACTGGAGAGGTTCTTTGGGACAAGATGCTAATTCACTGAAATGTGATTTAGGTATCCTCAGCTGTCTGTTTTTGTGATTGGGAACAGGACTTACAAACCAATGAAGAAATACCAAATTAACTTCCAGCAATCACGTAATTTTTAAGAAACCCCATATTCCCACCCCTAATTTTTTCTCTTTCGTTAAAAAACGGAAGAATTCCCTATTGCTTCTTTCTTTGGGTTTTCCTGTTTCTAGCCAGGTCCTGAAATGGATTGGAGAGACCACAGTCTCCAAAGTTGTTATTCCAATATTCCAACGAATTCTCAGTTGGGAGAATGGAACCTCTGGCATTCTTCCCAGAAAGCCAGCTTGGTTTCTTCGTGCAAAGTGTAGCATAGCCCTAGGAATCGAGGAGGCGGGAATTCTGATCCTGTCCTAGCTTCTGACCTTGGACAAAGCTCTCAGCATCTCTGTTCTTCGATGCTATGATGATGGGTTGAAGGGTGCTGCCTGCTGCTGTCGGTTTCCGGAGGCTACTGAAATATCAGTGGCAGCTTTGCAGTGCTGTCTGAGATGACTGGAAGAGGATGATAGGCAAATAGAAAATGTTTGTTGGATGTGTATGGTGCCTTTGCCATTTTAGGAGGTTAGGTGAGCTGCATTTTAGGGAGCTTTTTGGGGTTTCTCTGGTTTTTCTGAAAGTGCAAAGAAGCTTAAATATACAGAATTGCAAGGGCTCTGTGGGGTCATTCATTTTATAGATGAAAAAACTGAACCCAGAGTGGTGACCTGACTTGCTCACAGCTACACAGCTGGTTGGGGCAGAGCTGGCACTAGAACACAGGAGCCCTTCTAGATCGTGCTCCTCTCCCGGCCACAGCCTGGTTCTCCCAGCACGTTCTCTGTCTTAATTGATGAGTTGGATCTGCTGATTGCATGCGGTGTTTCCTCACCTCCCATGATGCCCAGGGGCTCCTCTGGGGACCTGGAAGCCCAGGAGAGCAGCCCAGACCCAAGTCCTGTGTTTTCTGCATGTGGACTGAGCTCACCAACCTTCATCTAGTCCTTTGCATCAACTTTAATCCCCCTTTCAAGAAGGCACTCTAACCTCATGACTGTTACATCTTTTCTTGTAATAAACACCCCATAAACCAGCTTTAGAACTGTTTGCAAACCCGTAAATGCTAACCTGTACCTTGCCTCTCCCAGGCACATATCCTAATGACTCTGCCCTTAGCAGCAGTTCTTACTTTAAACAACTATATATAACTGCATCCATGGATAAAGCACAATTATGCTTATGTTTTCTTCCTATGTAATACATATGTTACATGTACAAAAGAACTAGTGTCCGCATCTACAGAGAGAAAAGATTTTTATGTTAGCTATCTTCGTAGTATGTGCTAGAATGCCTTAAATTCTTCTGAAAAGGTGGAAATTGTATCTTGGCTGCATAGTATGGAGTTTTATGTGACTGTGGCATTTATTTTTACTATCTTGTGCACAATAAAACAGCCCAGTGATGTCTGTGCATCACTTGAAATATGCGTTACTTCCGAAATGTTGCACGTCTACACGTGGAAACATACATACCAGAGGGTACCGTAAATCGACCAGTATCAGGTTTTAAGAGAACTCATTTTATTATAAACAGATGCATTTGTAGGGCTTTTGTTTGAAGAGATCATTCCCTCACTGAAACCTTGTCTTATTGCTCCCGAATGCCTTTTGGCCTCACCTTAGCCCTCTTGGCTTCATTTGCAGAAGTAAAATGGCATAAAGTCAGGTTTCCATTTGCTGGAGGTGGGAAGGGTATTTTGTGTCACCCAGGTCTTTGGCTGCACTGTGCATCTGGTCCCCGGCTTCAACGTCTGCCAACGTGGAGGTATTGAGTTCTCTCACAAGCAAATGGGTGCAAAGTAGTCTATTTTGGATTTCCTCTGAGTAAATATAGAACTCTTTTCTTTGCCCTTGTTCCTATAATGCCAGCTAATTATCTCCTCCCC